ATATATATATATATATATATATATATATATATATATATATATATATACACACACACACACACACACACACACACACAAAACTAGGCATAAATAAGCGACTCAAAAGTAATTGTAACTATATAATTTAAATTTTATTTTTTATTTAATGTGCAAAGCTATTCTAGCATAATTCAGACTTTGTCTAATGTTACATTTTTAACATTTCTATTTTTTCTAGATGTTAACAGCTGGCTTGTAACATTTGGGTTTCATCTCCACAACACGATTCCTGGGTATCCAGTTCCAAAGTTTGACCTAAGCGTGCCGTCCTATGAACTGGGGAAGAGTCAGCTCTGGGATGATCTGCCGGTGGGTAAAATTATTTACTACTGAGTAAAAATATATATCAGAAAAACAAGATTTGTGCTTCTGTTATTTGTCTGTTACCTTGGTATGTTGAAGCTGTCATTTTTTAATTGGAACAGAGTGCTTTTTGTGATTATCAACATTAATTAGTCTATATTTGCATAATTATAATGATAAAAAAATGGGTTTTTTTCCAACTAGCTTTATCAGGTGAAGATGTTTTAATGGTTTGAAGTCTGAATGCAACAATCTGGGCATGCTATTGTCACAACCTTTGAAGCCATTTATGCTGCGTCTTTGGTTGTAACACACACACACATGCACACACACACATAAATGTCATCAGGGATTCATCTACTTTAGACTTAAGAACACAGCTTGAAAACACTATTATCTTAGATGGGGATGAGAAAACCCAGCAGCAGAGCAGTAGCTAGTTTTAAATGGCCTGGAGAGTCAGGTTCTGCCATGTTCAGGCGTTAACGTTTCACTGCACTTTTCCTACAGCCTATCTCTGGGGTCCAGCAGGAAGTAACCAGACAAGCGCATTCTCTCTTGTCGTTTGAGCGGCTGCCTGAGGTCCATCTCCGTCGAGGTCGAAGAGGTGAAAAGTCTTGGCTCTGGTTCTCAGCTGCAAAGTCTCCCATCGGAAGAGCTGTTATGTTTGCCATCTACAAGGGCAGTGTCCACACTCACACACTCAACGTGGCAAGTGAGGATTGCATTAAGGTTGCAACAATCCTTAACAACGCCTTTTATCTGGAAGACCTCCACTTCACCATTGAAGGACGAGACACACACTACTTTGTCAAGCCAGGCCTTCCAGATTCTGACCTAGCTTCACTGCACCTCACCAGTGGACACAAGACTCTAGAGAACGGTGTCAATGTGACTGTGTCTCAGTCCACCACAGTTATGGACAGCAGGACTCGCCGTTTTGCCGATGTAGAAATTCGGGCCGGTGCTCTTGCTTTTCACATCCGCTATGGCTCAACGGTGGATGAGGAGAAAGTGAGGGTTATTGAGATGGCACGTCAGCGTGCTCTAGCGGGAGCTTGGGCCCGAGAGCAGCAACGAGTGCGAGATGGCGAGGAGGGGGTTCGCCCCTGGACAGAAGGAGAAAAGAGGCAGCTACTGAGCAGTGGAAAGGTTTTGGGCTACGATGGATACTATGTGCTCTCCATCGAGCAGTACCCAGAATTAGCAGATAACTCTAATAGCATCCATTTTCGTCGGCAAAGTGAAATTGGAAAAAGGTAACAATTTGAGGTGCATTGTTTGCCAAAGAGACCTTGTTTTGGTAGAGATGTAAAAGTGGACACGATGAAAAGCAACTGTATGGAATAGTTCTTTATATGTACATTGGGTGTTGCTTTCTTTTGTAAAAAAATAAATAAACAGAAAAGTAAAAGAAAAAAATGGAAGAAATAGGAACAATGGGTCAAAAACAATGCTGTGCATTGTGGCCTAAAGACTTCAGAATAAATGACGACACTAAGCCTTAACATGGCAATTACAGGTGAGTTCCTCTGTAGCACAAGCCTTCTGGACTCTGGACTGAAGCAGAGGAACAACAGTGCTTTTAACAAGACGCTAAGGTTATGTAGGTGTTTTATGTTTGATTTTTATGTTCTCATTAAAAAAAAAAAAAAAAGCTTGGCTTAACGGAGTGTTATGGGAACAGAGGAAATGTTTACATAATGCATATCTGCACTTTTCTACAAGTACCAGGCTCATGGATTCACGGAGCGAGCAGTGTTCTCAAACAAATGTTTGGTTCTTCAAATCAGAGACTACTGACGTTTAAAATACTCTCACCAAACCACTATGTATACCAGATTTAGCACTGTAAACATCAAAATGTTCTTATTTTCTTTGAGTTGCTCTTGAATGGAACAAAAGACGCTTCAATACTTGATGGTGATTGTGGAAAAAAGTGCAGAGAGGTGTGACGAACTCTTGAAGATGTGGAGCAGCACAGGTGTGTCTTGGGTTTCACAGGGACACCATGTTTTGTAAATTATCCAAGGATTTTATGCATTTTTGTTGTTTCTTTTTAAGAAACTGAATATATGTCTGTACAAGTCATTAACGGTAATTATGTTGTGTTTATACATAAATAAAGTCAAGCTGGTTTTAATTTACTTTTTTTATTTTATGTGATATTTTTAGGCGTTTACTTTGTGTCGGGATTAATTAGCCGTGATTACATAGATGTGGCTTTTGTTGAGCTTCAGCCCCATTTTTAGAGCAGATGACTGACATTGGTCATGTAGTGACAAGTATTTACAAGTGGTAATATATATATCCACAACATGCAGTCAGATATTACTTCCACTAAATTTATCATTTATTGGACATCATTTTTTTTGACTCGGCTTCTTGTCCAAGAATGAATAATTTATCGGCACAAATATTTAATGAAACCAGCTTACATAAACAAGATTACCAAGACCCAAATATAGATCACAACTCTAAAAATGATTTTAGGGCTCCTTTGGAAATTCTGTTTTTTTCAGTAACTGGAAAGTTTCTTAAATTAATTTTTCCGTTTTCTTGCAGGTTTCAAAAAGGCAAAACATGTTAAGTGCTGGATTAATCAAACACTAATTTGAAAACCATCAAAGAAAGCCGTGATGTATGAATAGCAAGAGCATAAAAAAGAATAAACAGCACAAATTGCATTAATGATTGCAAAGACTCGTTGAGCTACAAAAGCCGAAGAAGACAAAAGCAGCTCTGCTGTGAAGTCAGCTACTTGAAGCTGCTCCCACTTCAAGTGTGTGCGTTGTAGCTACAGATGTTTGAGTTTGAATGTAATTCACCTGGAATGTAGAATGTTGAGTAAAAACCAGAGATGATCCTACAGAGACGTTTAAGCTCAGATTCATGTAATCCTTTGATTGCTGAACAGTTTTTTTTACCAACGACATTTGGTTTGTGATCAGCATTCCCACTGATCAGGGCGTGTTATTCATCAAAGCCCAGAAGAGCATCAGTGCTGGAATGTAGGATTCTGAAAACAACCCCTTCGTAATAAACTGGTCTCTTTTCGTGGTATACTTCAAACGGCAGTTCGAACCATACGGGAGCTGAATTTTCTCTGCTCAAAACTTATTTCATGCGGCTGTTTTTGACCTCCTCTCTGCCGTCCACACATCCCACAGATCATGCTGTTAGATTGACTTTTGTGCTGCGACACACAGCTCAACAGAGCAAGCTCACAGGCTGCCATCGTCACCACAGCTGGATTCACTGCCCGGCTGCCTCAAACATACAAACTATAATGAGATGCATGATTTAAGTTCCCCTGTGAGCCACTGTCTGCCTCTTGTTTTGATGTGCCTATACAAAGAGTTTCAACCCCCTTACTGAAAAATCCTCCAATTTAAGCTGCTAAAGAAGCGCTCAAATGTTTCACTTAAGTCCTCTGATGCTCTCTAGTGGCACAAAGTGCAAAGTTCAGAAAGTCACCGAACTGACTGGATCGATCTAAATCACAACGCAGCTTCTTCTAACTGCAAACTGTGCTCGCCTGTCAAGAGGTCACAAAGTGCTGTTGCTTTGAGCTTCAACATCAAACCATCAAGCCAAATTCTTGTGATTAGTAATCCAGATGTGAGCTAAACAATCGCTTCTAGGTACTCCAGGTTAGTTTAAAGAGACATCAAATAGAATGGTTAAGTAAGTAACATTAAAATAAACTGCAGAGCTGCTGCAGTTTCTTGCTGTGACCACACGAAGTACTGCCAAGGAACGGCGTGGTATCCCGCCATGCACTGCAACTAGACCTACTTCAAAGGCTTCTATAAAAGGGAAGGCACTTCTTTGCAAGAACATCAAAGACCCAAATGAATTGTGCAAAAAACACACATCAGAGCAACGTGAGGAAAAAAAACATGCATGTTCCACAGGTCAGCTGAGTTTCTTTTTAAAGAAACAGGTAGCCAAATGGAAATGCATAACTAAACGAAAAATGACTTTACAAAAATATTAATCGCTAGATCGAACCACACACACGTTGTTTTGTGGTCAATAGTTTAGATGTATTTAGAAGGATCGTGTTAATGTTTGAAGGGTTAAATGACATTATGCCTTGTAGCTACACATTAAAATTCTATGCACGCAGGATGTAAGACGTGAAATTTACAAGGTCGAACTCGTGTCCTCTTCGGTGTCCCTCGGTGACTTTTACCACATCAGTTTTATCTGTTTTGTGCACGTAATGTTATTGGATTTTAACAAGCACACAATGAGAGTCGGGTTTCATTATTAATCGTTTACATATTTTTATGTAACAGCTTGTACACCCAGTCTTTGGCGCAAAATCAACCAGACAGGAAAAAAAACTAAATTGAATTCTGAGGTGTGAGAGAAGCAAAAGAATGTCCATATTTATTGCAACTTTTTGTTTGTTTTTGCTTTTTTTAAATTTACGGTCGTGTGTGTTTGTGTGTTTTCACTTTCCTACTTAGAAAAGGAAAACTTTCCTGTGGATTCACTGTTAGAGATACACCCACTACTTTTACTTGCAAATGTTTTTGCACAAAGGTGTCAAGATGCAGAATAGAACTGGTATAAATTTGTCCAAACACACAGACAGTGTGAACAGCAGATGTTCAGAAAGACAATCAGACTCTGTTCCCTGGTGACCAAAGATTCATTATTTTAAATTCTTCACGAAACAGATTCTTATTAGTCTTTGTTCCCCACACGGCAACTTGATATTCACCTCGAAGCATTTGCAGAAACAAAGAACAGTTTAGGCGTCAGTGATTGTCCGTGGTCTGTAAACTTCATGTTTCAGTTAGTTTGACAGAGAAACTCCACGGGCACAGAGCTAACAGGAAAAGCCTCAGGCCAAACTAACTTTTTTATTTTTATGTTGCTGTGAGGTTGCCAGCATTAATTACCACATCAATTTACCTTTACTGAAAAAAAAACAAAAAAACTTGAAAAGAGTTTATTTTTAATTTTACCTTTTCAAGACTGTTACTTTTAAATCAAATGCATTTTGTTGTAATCTCCTTTCTGATTATTATGGCTAACCAGTGGCAATTTTAGCCTCTTTTTGGGGGCGCTCAAGCACCCCTACATTTTAACTCCACACCCGTGGAAAATAAAGAAACCATCATTAAGCTTTTGTAAGGAAACTCAGTTCTCAAACCACCAAAATATTAAATAAATTTGGAATAAATATGGAATAAATGATGACTGTCTTAAACGGGTCAGTAAAATCTGTTTTTGGTTTTTGCACGAGTCAGATCCTTGACGCCACCTGTCAATCAGTCTAGTGGACTTATCAGCAACTGACAATCACTGATCTCAATTTGTCCCGAAGAGAAACGCCCCTTACCCGCAGTGCTCCACCCCCTTTTCCTTTGACAACATTGTCAGAGTTTTGCATTTCAAACACTTTGCAGTCAGAAAGATTTCATGAAAATCATCAGGAAAAAATGGTTAAATGTTGTTAAACGGTATTTCATCCTTGGAGATTCAACCCCTTACTTTTCCCGAGGAAGACTTTACTAAATTTCTTACATCTGAAATTGAAATTTTCCTCGAAGTTAACCGAACACCAGGAATGCCCCTCTGTACTGTCTGGGAGGCATTAAAGGCCTACCTGAGGGGTCAAATAATTTCTTATTGTGCAAACAAAAAAAGGAGTTGGTATGGCTAAGACAGTTAACAGATGAGATACTAGAATTAGACAGGGAATAAAGCCACTCCCTCTCGTGGGTTCTAATGAAAAAAACATTTGTTACTTCAACTGAATTTAATACTTTCTCTACTCAGCAAGCAGACTATTTAATCTCTAAATCTAGTCAGGGTTACTACGAACATGGTTAAAAGGCTGGGACTGCATCAGTTGCGGTGACAGTCAGCCAACCAAACTATTACGGCAATTAACAATGAACAGGGAGCTGCATTCCAAAACAATGCTGGAATTAATATATTTTATTAAATCTTATCAGTCATTGTACACGACTGTCATCAGCTAACGTATCGGACATGGAGAACTTTTTTGGAGATCTTGAGCTTTCTTCAAAGAATCCTGATCTTGTTGGGGACTTGGAGAGGGAGTTCTCTGTAGCCGAGATAAACTCCACAATCAACAATATGCAAAATGGGAAATCACCTGGACCAGATGACTTCCCATCTGAGTTTTTTAAGACATTTTCAATTCTACTCTTAGCCCTTATTCAGGTCTGTGTTTGAGGAGTCGCTGCACAGACAATGCCACTGTCCATGCATCAAGCTGTAACTTGCTGATACTTAAGAAAGACAAAGATCCTCTAAAATGTGGCTCATATAGAGCTATCTCGCTTTTAAATACTGATGTTAAAATCCTTTCAAAGATCCTGGCAAAATGACTTGAGCGGGTGGTCCCCACAATCGTCCCGCCTGACCAGGCGGGGTTTGTTAATAACCGTCGGGCTTTCTTCAATGTTAGGCGGCTGCTTGATGTGCTGTACACTCCTAGTTCAGCCAAACACACCTGTGATGAAGTCATTCTGCCATTAGATGCAGAGAAAGCATTTGACTGAGTGTAGTGTGACTAGTGCTTTGAGACTTTAAAGTTATTAAAATGTGGTCCCCAACTGCGGCGGTCCGCACTAACCGTAACATATCTTCCTATTTCGAATTACTAACAGGATACGAAATAGGTGCCTGTTATCACCACTTCTATTCGCGTTAGCGATAGAACCATTGGCTGTAGCTTTATGACAAAACTCCATCATTAAAGGGATAAATCGACTAGGTACAGAGCAAAATGTTTCTTTATATGCGGATGACATGCTTTTATATATATCAGACCCTCTTACCAGTATCCCTGAATTACTTACTTTGCTTCAAAAATTTAAGAAAATATCTGGCTATAAGGTTAATCTTCAAAAGAGTGAACTTTCTATTGATCAAAGCCTCCATAGAAAAGAAAATCTTGGACACTGTACCCTTGAAAATTAGCTTAAAAAAAAAACAAGTACCTTGGGATCTGGGTAACTCGAGATCATAAGAACCTCTATAAAACCAAGTATCTACCTCTTATGGCGAACCTTAAACAGAACATTTATAGATGGCAATCCCTGCCTCACACTCTATGGAGCATAATAAACTTTGCAAAAA